CGGAGCCGATGACTCCGCTGAACGTCCTCTGAGGGAGCTTGGAGCAGAAGATCCTCGCCTTTCCCGCCAATGAGTCCACTCAGCCTACGGGTCAAAGCGTCTTGCAACGGCTCCAACGGAACACGGGGAACGCGCATGAAAGGTCTCAACAAAAAGCCCTGGAGCACAGTCCCACCTCCTGGCTTACACTGCGCCATGAGGTCCTTCAACGACAACCGAGTGCACAGTCCACGAGGCACACCCAACCAATGAAGCAGCCAAGCGACGACAAACACGCACCACGAGTTGCCAATCAAACTAAGGCGCTCATCCTTCCATTGGCTCCCATGCCGTTGAGACTTGGGGAGGCAATTCACAGTGTACCCCCGGGGAAACCCCATGAGCACTTCACGTTCTTCAACATCTGGTAGGCGAATTGCTCCCCCTCGATCTCGAACACATAGCGCTGCGCGGTATTGGTAAGGAGGGAACCGAAATTGGTCCTGCTCCCATCTGTGAAGCTCCTCCCAGCTACTGTGCGTGGTCGACTCGTAGTGAAGGTAGGGAACACCTCAGCGCTGCACTTCTTACATCCTGGCGCCAGGAACTCGTCGATGACATAGTCGCACTCCAAGGCAACTTCTGGTTCACCGAGGAGATGGAGGGTCCATTCCCATCTTCCAACTCCCATGTCGGCCAGTACAGGCGTGGACGTCGGCACCCTGTCACCCCAGAAGCGTCTAGGAGTACGGGCGTACTCCCAACAGACCTGCTCATCACCACCCGGTCCTGCTCATCCATCGAAGCCACAGATTCCATCAGCCGATGGACTTGCGCCCAGGGAAAACAGTTTGGTGATCCGGTCGACATGTGGAAACAACCCACTGCGGTGGTCCTTGAGCGCTCCTCGCCGGTCTGCATTCAAACCAGACACTCCTTGACATGGAGGACCAGCACCAGTAAGAACCAGGCTAACCTGGCTGAACTTGCACGCCCAAGACTTCACCATGTCCTCTGAGACCTCCGCCACGTCGTTCACAAAAATTGTCCCAGGAAATCGACTTTCAACTACACGCCTAGCAGGTTCGTGGCTCTCAACTGACACATGGCCAATCACCGACAAGCCTACAGCGTCCGCAGCAACACGAAGCCCTCCGATTCCATCGAACAACCCCACTGTGAGGACAGCCGCGACCTCGCTCAACTCAGGGACATCACCTCGCACAGGAAGATTGGCCGCGATCACCCCAACTTGTGTCAGACCTGAGGAGGCAGTGACACCTCCCCCCGAGGTCGAAGCATCTGAAGCAGTTGCGGTACTAGAAAGTGCCATGCGAAAATCCATGCGCGCCAAAGGAACCAGTAAACAGAAACGGGCAAGCTCACTCCTCACCCCTAGGGGGATAACTTGCACAAAAGGCCCATCCACGAAACTCTGAATGAAAGCCCAAACCTGATTCAGTGCTCCTAGCAATGGTCTGCGAAAAGTGCAAAAGTACACGAAGCCACCCGCAACCACCTGCATCTGACGCTGCGTGCACCTTCCCTGGGTCAGCAAGAGGTGGCACGGCTGGACGTACTTGACAACCTTGTCCGCCTTCGGTGAGGCCAAGCCCGTCTGGCCATCAAGCTCAGCACCTTGCACCTCCGCCTGAACTTCTCTTGCCACAGCCTTCTTGGGGCGGCGAGGAACGTGCCTCTTGGCATAAACCTCCTGAAGTGCTTCCACAAACCTTGAAGTCGTCCCACGAATTCGACTTGCCAAAAAGGAGTCACACTTTTCCAGAAGGTCGAAGTTGTCGAGGTAGACGCGAAAGGAAGGATTGCTCCATGTGAAAGATCGGTCTTTCCTATGCTCAGCCTCCCAACCAGCCCTGGCACCCTTAGCTACGCACTCCTTCACTGCTTCACCCACTATGTTGCGATGGATATGTTGGGCCAGGGAGACCGAGTTGCAGAACCCCATAGGCAGTACTCGACTGCATAAGAAGTAGCATCCCTGGCTGTCTGGGCAAAGTTCTTGTGGGACTCGACGACCAAAGGCCAAATACTTGTGCCACTCGACCGGCACCGTGAAAATGTAAAAGAAACACCTCACGTCTTCGGAACTAACCATCAGGGTCTGGTCGTCTCCAACTTCAAAGGGGTGCATTGACGGCCAGGCGGGGAGGGTGCTTACGTCTCCACTCATTGCCCGGCAGATGCGGTTCAGAGGGATGAGATTCATGATGAGCCTATGCACCGGCGTGGCTCCGTCCATCTCGTCCTTGGGGACGCCAAATAATCCGTTGAACAATGGCTTGCCCTGAACACGATGGATCTGATCCTCCCGAACTAGTCCACATATCAGGAACCATAACACGGGGAGGCTTGGTGTGCACCTGGTCCCCTTCGGGGAGAAGATAACTGTCAAAGTTCAGGACATAGTGAAGTGAACCCTTGGTAACCACACTCTCCAAAGGCACTGTGCCCACTTCCGCTGGGAGAGCATTTTTGATATTGGCCCAACTGGTCATCTGAGCCACTCTAACTTCATCACCCTTATAGTCGATCGTTTTTACTTTCAAAAAATCCTCCCACGACATCTCAGGGAGTCTTGGACATCTCAACTGAAAATCCTCAGCCACATTAATCAAAAACATGCAAACCTTAACCTGCACAGCAGTCAACTTAGCTCCGGGCATAGGCACACAACCATACAAATCATTCAAACCACACATAAGCCCTCTCACTAACTTAAACACAGGAAAAACCAAAACTGAAAAAAAGAGAGTGGTTCTCGAGGCCGTCGATTGGGAGAGGAAACAAATCCCCCATGGATCCACCCTTCCACCAAAGTCGAAAACTCGCTCGCGCAGGCAGGCTTTTTCACATCCATCTCGGACGGTAGTTGGTTCGCCTCGGGTGGGTCGGCACTCCCAACACCAAAGCCTGTACGGTCAAGCAACCCAGGATCATAGCTCTTCTCCCGGGCATCATTCATCGGCGCCTCATAGTCATAGGCATCTTTCTCTCTTTCAGGCATCTCTCTCCGCACTCTTCGCAGCTCTTCTGAAATCTCCTCTTCTGCTAGAAGCTCCTCTCTCCTCACTTCTCCACTTTGTCCGCTCGGCCTTTGTCGCCTCCTCCTTTGCTCCTTCCCTCCTTGTCTTTGCTCTTTCCTTTGCCCTTTGAGTCGCTCTTGCCCTTCACATCGTTCTTGCCTCCTTTCCAAGTCGAGCTCTCCCATTGGCCGCGCTGCAGCTGCTTGTTCCTGAGTTCCTCTCGACTCTCCTTCGCAGCCGCCCGCGACTCCGCCATGGTTGCCAAGCTGCCCAGGTCCTGAGGGACTACTTCGAACCGCTGAGCCACTTGCCATGTTGACCCACTGCTGATGCTTTCCAAGCTCTTCAAACGTTGAACCAGGATGTCCGCTGCGAGCGCGGGTTGGCAACCCACTAGCGCGTCCAGAGCGGCCGAGACGTTCAGCGCCTCCCGGCTCATGACCGGACTCATCCGCTGACTGAGCACCTGCCGGTAGAATTGCAATCTCACCGGCTGGATTGGCGTCGTCTCCTCCTCTTCTTGGCCCACAGTCTGCAACATCTGCTTGCGCATCTGTCGAATTGCATGGTAGGCCAAAGCCCCTGGCCCCACCTTCGCGGCCAGATGTGTTCGAGCGCTTTCTTGGAATAGGCCTTCTAGATCCTCCTCTCCCAACTCCCCCATGGATCCATCCGAATCCGTGGAGCTGGAACCCTTTGTCTTCTTCTTGAGCTTGCCAACTTCGAGACTTTCCTCCTCACCTTTGGGTCTTTGTCTAACCCTGTCCCTCCGAACAGGGCTACGAACTCCTTTCGTCCTTGGACCTTGAAGGGCTTCTTCCTCTTCTTGTGCTTCTTTTTCTTTTTTGAATCGCTGCTCTTGGTGGACTCCTTCTCGTCTTCCTTCTCGTCGGGGCCTGGAGCTGCTTCGACCACCTGCTGGGCCTCCTCCGCCCGCTCGTGCGACTGCGTCTGACCTCTCGGCAAGACGCCTGAGCTCCTCCATGCCGCTGGCACCTTTCATATTGTCGACCCACCCTAGATCGCCCGGACCTCTTCGCTGAACCTTTTTCAAGTGGATCAGGTTGTCCGCTTCTGGTGCACCGGAACATTCTGGTGGACATAGATGAAGTCGAACTCCAGGTCGAGACTGACCGGTCAGCCACTTCAAAAAGCCTTCGTCCTCTGTACCTGACACCTGAGCCAGTACCTCAAGGGCGCCACCTTGGATCTGCACCGACTCTATCTCAAAGGCCACGCCCCCAATAGTTTCCTTCTCCCAGGAGTCTCAGCCCTGGTGCTAAGACTCCCACTGGGATGGTATAGGCCTCAACTGTCCCGCCTTCCTCAAAGCCTAGAACTCTCTCGTCTGCTCGAGCTGGTCGACGTCGGACTTCGCCTTCTTCTCCTCCTGAGTGCCGACCCCTCCCGTGCCTTCGGGGGATGTACGTCGAGAAAGTCCTGGAGCTCGCCGAGTGCGTTCCTCAGTTTGATGGTCGCGTACCCGACGAACAAGTCAGCCTCCTGCAGTCGGGTTCCTTCACCCACCAAGCGATGCAGCCGCTTGATCGATGGGCAAAGGGTGCAGGAGCACGACTCCGCGTGCCCCCACATCCTCTGCTGAAGCCGACACGCTGCGGTTGAAAACACAGCTAAACGTTCCTATCGTCTTTAAATTCGGGGGCGAGTTTACATATATTATTCGGTGTGATCGATCTCACTTGAACCCATGTTCTTGTCCTTCTCTAAGCGTCACCTTCTCACACGTTGCCAGTTTAGATTCAGCGAGGGTACAAATGAATGCGCAATGTATTGTAGTTACAAGGCCAAACAAATGTGAATGTCTGGTGAGAGAGCATCATGTTGCGAAGCAGCTGGACTAGCTTGATAGAAAGTATACATTCTCAACAGGCCTGTGCATTTGCAGATCTGCTCACAGGACTACAATACTTGTTTGTGTGATTTGCAGCTTCCATGCCAGCATTTCAAACTAGACTCCTCTTGTGCATAGACAGCGCGCCACTTCGCGATGATTGGGGTCACCTGGCTCTGCACGCAGCGGCGCTGCAGCTGTACTATTTGGCCACCCCCAAGTGCTTCGAACTGTGCTCTTGCCTGCTCTCGGACATTGGGAAACCTGGCAGACCTTATGAATGAGCACTGTCGGGAGCTGGTTGGAGTGTTTTTTCCTAAGACATCGTTGTGGAGCCGCCCAGAGTGTTGCAGACTCCGTCAGTGCTGAGACTGCAGCACCTCTCGCAAGACTTTTGGAATCAGAGTCCTGGACTAAAGTGGAATCAGGGGCCACTGAGTGCTACAAGACATTCAGGGGTAGGGCTCACTTCGGCTCCCTACAGGCTCCTTCGCAAGAGCGGTGCTGTCACTGAAAGAGAACTGATCTCACCGATCAGTGATTGTAGGCAGGCCTGGGCTTGGCACTCCCTCTCCGACAGATTCTGTCATGCAGCTGAGCTCGATTATATGCAAACTTTCTATGCAGGTGTGTGGCGGCAAAGCATGTGGAGCTTGCAACTGCGAGTTGAATCGGTAAAATCGTCTGCACACTGCTGAAGATGACCAATGTCAGAGCCTAATGTGCAAGACTTGGCTTTCTGAGTACCCCCTCGCCTCATCTGAACAATCCCTCAGGTCCTTGCCGCACTAAGGGGAATCTGAACCAATCCGAAAACATGACCAGGTGCAGTTTCGGATTGGTTTTGAAATGTCCTCACACTCATATTCTATCTACTCTACGAGGACTACATATCCATTCCTTGGAGCTCCTCGAATCAACTACAAAGTCTCGCATTTTCCACCTTTCCTTGACCAGGCGTAGAGCAGCTTGAAAATTCCTGGCTTCCAAGGCAACCTGGCAGTTGACTCAGTTTGACTCTTTGGGTCAAATGTTGCAGAACGTTGACGCTTTGAATGCCTTCTTGGCCTTACAACTTGCGAGCAATGGGCCTACAAACAGGTCAAGCAAACCTGAAGCTGACACAATTGCCTTAAAACGTTGAATCGTCATTGTCCAGATATGTCCAACATCAACGTGTCCAATGTGCAGTCTTCCGCTGAACCAAGTGAACCAAGGGGCCAATGCGGAGGCTTTGTCGCTTCACTCGAATCGCCACTGCCTACAGCAGTTGACTGCAGGTCACGGGCCACGGGATCGATTGTAAGCAAAGCAAATATACAAGAGTCTTGTGACTTTCAAACCAGCTGACCGACCTTTGCGGATTTGCCTGTAGATGCCTCTTGTAAACCAACACATCTGCCTTCTTTGCATTGGACTCCCACTTTCCGTTTGGTCCCTGGCAGTGTTTGATTGCAGCTTGCCTGCCACATGTTTTTTCTCTTGCCATTGACCCTTTTTTGATTGAATGATTTGTAATATATATATATATATGTATATATTTAGATATGTAGTTTTCATGGGTTGCTGTGCAGCTTACCTTTGATCTGCCTGACGATACTTGGCCAATTGCGCACGTCGACGGCGTGTGGCCTTGCAAGAAAAGAGAAGGGACTCAGACTAAGGAGGCCTTCTATGCTCTGCTGCTAGTGACAGGGTTGAGAGATTCAGCGCTTTGTCAGGCTCTGCCTCTGTCTCTCTTCTCTTGGGCATCAGGTACCGAGGCTATGCACCAAATGTGTCCTCACATGTTTTGGTATTTAGCATGTCTCTAGGGATGTTCATGCAAAAGCTGACGTATGATATGAATATACTCTTTGGTCTTCTCAAAATGCTGCAGGATTGGAAAGAAGAAATTCACAGCTGAGAAAACAGCTATGGATGTTGACAAGTTTTCCGAGCACGATATATTTTCCTCTAAGCACAGGCCTCAATCTTTCCAGTGCAAGTTTGCAAGGCCAGTTAGGCCGTCACAGTTATCTCACCACATTAATCAACCCGAATATGTGTTTTTTCTTGGCGTTGGTGGACGAAACCAAATATGTCAACGGGCCCGAGTCCATTCAAATCGTGAGGGATCGAAGCAAATTATGGGCACTTTGTTCTTGTGACAACTCTGCCCTCCTGCTTCCAAGCAAAAGTGCCATGCAAGATTTGTTATCGCGATCACATTGTGAGCGGCAGTGGCACCTTTTCAGCAGTTGAATGACTCAGAAGAGTGTAGCTTGAATCCTGCAAGCGTCGTCATACAGTAGATTGCACTGAACTCACCTCCTGTGAAAACCTGTGGTCCTTGGGTGTGTGGGAAAAAGAAATGATTGAGCTCGTTGCAAGAAAGAGAGGGAGACCCGGGTGGAAAAACATGAGAGGAGAGCAATGGTTTCTATCAGTCCTGGTTCCTTCTAACAACCATGTCCACATTAAAGCCACCTTTGTCGCTGCCGTCTGCTCGACATTCAGAATCAAAAGGGTCATGTTTCCCATCATTGTGGCACTGGCTGCGCGCAACCTTCATAGACAGCCTGTACCTGGACAGTCACTGCGGAATCGACGCCCGTCAAGTTCAACCCACGGCCAAAGAACTTTTGACTCAATGCAGCCCAAGCCCCCTATCAACTGTTCACCCAAAGTTGTCCTTAAAAAATGCACGCTGTGATTGATGATTTTGCATTGTTCCCCACATCACTATGTGGGGTTCTTGTCTTTCGCTCCACCCGCCGCTCCGCAACCACCGCCTCCGCCCGCCACCTCCGCCGCCGCCGTCCCACATTTTCTTACACCACCACTCACCTTACACCACTCATCTTACACCACTCGTCTTACACCACTCATCTTACACCACTCATCTTACACCACTCATCTTACTCCACT